GTGTGCAAAAGTCGGTCTTTCATTTAAAAACCATCTCAGGCTGAAAGTTCAACTTGAAAACGCTTAAAAAAATTTAGAATCTGATAGAATCTGACGTTTCTGTGATAAATAGTTGAGCTCTATCCGACCATTTTCTAGAGTGGTTGTAATGTGACTGAATTGGAACTATTCGTGTTATGGAACTAAAAGTAACATTAGACCGGTCACTTTTCCAGGGGCATTTGCGGCAATGCTTATATTTCTGCGAAAAACGATCGAAAAATTCTCGGGAATGTCTCGTTGTGAAGAGAACACCTTGCTCTATGAGACAATGTATGAGAAAAGATTCTAAAGGCACTGAAAAGGAGAGAAAAATTTACAAAACTAAAAAACTGACGTTTTCCGCCTCTTTAGCAAAAAGTTAAAAAATTCATAATTTTTCCATAAAAGTCCGTTGAATGCCGGAGATGTCCTCATTTTGGAGCCCAGGAAATTTTGAGAAAAAAACCGGGTATTCTTAACTGTAGCAGTTTTAACTGTGACAGCTCGTAACTGCGACAGTTTTTAACTGTGACGGTTTTAACTGTACCAGTTTTACAGTTCTACAGTTACAGTTAACTTCTTTTTAACTGAAACTGGTGCATACCTATATGGAACGTCTCGGCGGAAATGAATTTTTTGTCTTTCTTTTGAAAATGATCTATTCATTCGACTACTGAGTAAAACAATTTTATTTTGTTGTTTCTCCACTGAATAAAGTGTACTCATCAGAGATACTCATTCATCTTTTTGTTTTCCAAAGATGTAGTTATGCAAGATACATAGGTTTCACTATAGAAACTTCCAACTTTTTGGTTAATATTTCTGCCACAATCGTAGAGATGCGCTCGCCTATCATCGTAGTCAAACTGTGAGTATCTGACGATATTTTCTTAAAAGGATGATAACGAAAAGCGTTTAAAAATACTCATGAAATTCTGACATGAGTACTAAGATACTGACTACGCCTATGAGCACTTATGCTTGAGTACATTCACTAGGGCATAGCTCTAAATATTAGAAAGAGTACATAGCTGGGTGTTTCCGTCGAGTCCGTACCATGATATACACAGCTTTGTTCGCATTAGCTGGAACTATTTTTAAATGAATGACCCATGGGTATGGTTATCGTAAATCGAGTTAAAAGGTTTAGAAATATCGGCATCATAGAACGCCAGATCTCGACATTTGCGTTTTGAGGGCCCAGTAACACTAAACCTTTGTCTATATAAACTAGTAGCGAAACTTGATTTTTTTATGGAATATATAGTAAAATGTTAAGACTTTCTTGTGGTATCGTCGAAAAGTTTCAAAATGTTTTGGATATTTTGAGGAGAATTTCCAAAAACCCGATTTGGGCCTTTTTTTCGATGGGTAGATTTTCATCAAAGCAAATTGGAAAATCAGTTTCAAATAGTGCATTCGACTTGCCTTTGCATTATTTATCGAACGGTAAAACAAAACCTTTCATAGCTTTTAAAAAATTCGAGATACCGGTGGGAATTTTTGAGTTTTTACCTGTTATAATCTCGAATTCCCGAGGCCGCTTTCATATATTTTTCGTACCTATTCGACATGGGCTTTCAGGTCACACAAGATACGATTTTTCCCAACTCAATGCTTTGTAACTATAAACCCCATAAAATTTGATTTTTCCAGTTTTTGATGACTTTTCAGCTTTCTTTAGGCGGGGTGCCGCCATCTCACATACTCTCAGACTTTGCCAGTTTGTAGAGGACACCTTCAAGGGTATACGTGTGCAATAACTCACGAGTTGGATAAGTTTTGGCGGAGAGGTGAAATTTGTAAAAATCGATTTTCCCAGCTATTTTGGACCTGGTGCTAAAAGTATTTCTTGCGCAGTCGCCGCGGCAACGAAGCGTTCGGAACGTTTATGTCAATGCAAAAGTTGTTTATTGCACTCATCTCTACGGATGACATAATTTCTTTTAGTGTAAAGTGCGCAGATACAAAGTTTTACGTAATAAACTAGGTCCGAGTCTAACATTTTTTGAATTCTGTCCGTAATGCTCAATTTTCTCAATCAGACCTCAACTTTAAAGCAATAAAAATATAATATTTGGAGTTAGGATAAAAAACTGAGTCGATTGATGTGTATTTCTATTCTATCCGACTAGTTTAATTTTTTTTGAATTTTCACGTTGAAAATTAAAAAAGTTTTCACGTCAAACTGAAAATCAATGTAAAAGTTTCGAAATACACTTCAGTACAATAAACAACTTTTGCATTGACATAAACGTTCCAAATGCTTCGCTGACGCAGCGACTGTGCAAGGAATACTTTTTGCACCAGGTGCAAAATAGCTGGGAAAATCGATTTTTACAGGATTCCCCGAAGGATCCTCCTCCTCAAAAATCCTTGAACATTGTACGACACAAAATTTAGCTGGAGCTCATGTAGCTCTATATTAATATTTTTATTCTTATTTTCCCAAAGATCTGTTAAATAGTCAAGAGTAGTGCCAGAATACCATTCACAAAGAATTTCCGATACTTTTAAACAATCTCTATCTTTAAAACCATACATTTTCATTTTTTCGCAAGCTTCCTTTACCAGATTTACACCTGGCAAAAATCGGGGTAGAAAACTCTTAGCGTTCGAGTTCAAAAAGTTAGCCATTACCTTGCGGAGTACTCATTTTCGTATGCTCCACTGACAGTCCCTCATCATTTGTGACCGTTAACACCTGGTTGTCACTATTGTTTACAACCTCTTGTATATTTATATTATTAACTGCAAATGTTTTTGATATCACTAAAATTAGATCTATAATGTCTTTAACTTTTTGTTGACATTCTTTCAGTTTTTGTTGCTTGTCTTTATCATTTACTATAATAGGACTAATAACATTTACAATCAGTGATTCAAACAGCGATGCTAATGCTGGTACTACTAGCAATATCAGATTACACATTGAGTCGATCTTCTTATCCGTATCCTTTGCTTAATCCTTACTTAATTTTATCTTCTAAATCATCCAACGATACTACCGATACCTGTCGTTGTTGTTTGTTATTGTTACCTGTTAAAGATGTGTCATTGTTAAAATTATTATTAGTTGTTGTTGTATTAACATTTGTCCATGCAGCAGGTCTTATTTTATTCAGCATTGGATATTCATGCACGTTATTTATATTTGGTGACACTATTCAATTATTCCCAAATATTACCTTTAATTTTCCATTATCTATTGCATGTTCACTACTTCATTCAGTTCTTCTTGGTATTGTTGATTAAAATTGCACACCGGAGCTGTTGATATATGATCTCCGCCATACTGAGCACATTTCTTATTTGTTGAACATTCATGTCGACCGTCTAGTAGATCTTCTAAACATATTTTACATTTGAATACTGCCTCATTACAATCATTTGCCCAATGCCCGATCTTCCAGCATTTTGTGCAATATAAAATTCTATTAGCTGGGATGTATTCGGTAATAGATCGAACTATATTTCCAATACCTATTACACCTTGTGATACCGCCGCTTTATATTCATTTAAATCCGGCACTTCAAATCTATAATCAATTGATTTTTTTCCATATTTGCTAATCAATTTTCTTAAATTTGTGGCTGACCTAATCGAACAATTCACATCTTCTCGAATTTTATTGATTGAAATTGAAGCTGGAACATTTCTGATGACTAATGAAAATTGGCTAGGGATAACACTGGGTTTGACGACTGAAATCTTTAAATGTATACTACCACATATACCTGGCCATTCATTAGTTGTCATTAATTTATGATAATTATCGCGATTGCTTACATATAGTTTTAATCTTTTTCCAACTGAACGAATTAGTGCAAAACCGTTAAATTTAACACCTTGTCTACGTAGATGATTTTCAATATATAATTTAGCATTCATTGCACTTGGTAAATCACGCCGATCAATACTCTCTTCATTGTCATATCTCACAATGAACGATGATAGACCATGCGTTGTGGTATATCTCAAATCTTTGATATTCATCTTATTTAATGCATTATTTGTGCTATGATCACTATTGCGGCCATATTACCTTTCACATTCGCTCTCAATTCCGCTGACTGCTGAGATTGTGCCCCAACTTGTTGATAAGTTAATCTGCTCTGATCTTCTATACCAACTGGAATACTATTCACTATTACTGGTTTAGTCCATTTACTTGATACTAAACTATACCCTTCATCTACATCTGAATTAATTTGCCTCGGACTGCGTTTGTTATTTATCTTATTACCCAGTTGTTTACATTCGGATCTGTTGTTATCGATGATTTAGTCATTGATATTTGAGATGGATGATTCATATCTAGCTGATTTATTTGGTGACTCATCGGTTGATGATGCCGAAACAGCATTGGTCTTTGAGGTTGAAAGGGTCTAGATTGCTCATCAGGTGTATAAGACCGTTGTATCATTTGATTTACTTGATTAACATTCTGAAATGCAGCTGATTGTAACACAGTATAGGAGGGATTATTGTTCAAATCTTCATAACCTTGATTCTTATCATTATAATTCTGGTTCTCATAGTAAGCAAATTATGGGATATTTCTATTCATCGTATAAACTCTTTCACTCCCGTAATTTTGATCCTGATTTCGATAATCCTGTTTATCGGATTGAGAATTACTTAATAAAGGCATTTTTTGCCTTTACTAACTTGGTCCAATGGTCAATGTAAGTAAAAAATAAGGAAAGAGAATAAGCACGTGTATAAAGAACAAGAAAGGACACGTCTACATTGACGTAGTAAAAAGATGATGACAAAATTCCTAGTACTCGTACTCGGGACTTTTTTTAACAAGTATTCCGAAAAATACTCGAGTACTTCCCCAAAAACTGGTGACCTTTTCTTTTACTATTTGCGTATCAAAAAATCGATATACTCGGAATGTTTTCGGATTCAACGGCTTCTTCACAAAAAAAAATACTCGAGTACTACTCCCTCCACTACACTCTCATTTCCTAGTGGCACGGAAAGAAACTGTGCATTTGGCATATGTAACAGAAATATGACTCATTTGTTTTAGTTGTGTGGATGATACAAATCAAATTTTCATTAGAAACCTATCAATTAAGATAATAGTAAGCAGTTTTCTTCGAGAAAAAGCGGTATTGAAATCGGTAGTCAATAACATTATTAGTATTCAAGGGCAACAATATAAATATGAAGTTTAGTGCAATTGCGGCTGAAACACCCTTAACTTTGTTTAACATGATTAAGAGTTTATTAATAAAAATATTTATTAAAACACGAATTTTCGACCTATTTATACGGTCATTATCAAGTGAGTATGTCGTACAGACAGTTACAATAATGTTTTGGTCTTGTATTTTACTTTATTGTAACTGTCTGTACGACATACTCACTTGATAATGACCGTATAAATAGGTCGAAAATTCGTGTTTTAATAAATATTTTTATTA